GAATAGTAAGACCCAGGGGCAGACTCCAGCCTCCATTCTGCCAACTGCCAGGGGCGTGGGAGAAAGTACTTTGTCTCCTCCAAGGGATATGAGTTTTTATTCTCTCACCCATACCCCTGCTCCCTGGTGGTCTCGGTGGTGAATGAAAAAGAGTGCCAGGGGCAATAAGCACTGGCTCCCAAGGCTAAGGAGGCCAAATATATAGACCTCTTTGGCAGGAAAGTGTATGCTGCTGTAGGCCTACAGCTGAGGATAGCCAACCAGCAGGCTTTCCTCAGCTGGTATGACTTAACTCTTGGGCCGCTAATTCCAAATACAAAGAGATGTTCCCGGTGGAGGTAAGAGCGGAATTCTTAAGCTCTGGTCTAGGAGGGGCAGGCGGTGGCCAGAACATCCTTTCAGGCCGCCCTTGACGCGGCTGACTCGGCAGCATGAACCATCTCCTCAGGAGTGGTCATGAGAACCTCCTGGCTCTAGGTCTTCCCCCAGAGGTCCAACAGCCCCTGCAGGACCTTCCCTTTGAGGGCACTGGACTGTTTTCAGACTTGACAGACTCGAGGCTCCATAGCCTCAAAGATTCATGGACAACACTGAAGTCTCTGGGGATGCATATGTTTGCTACTCAGAGAAAACCTTTCAAGCCTCACCCCCAGCAGCAGCAGAGGCATTATCAATCCCACCCAAGGCAGGAATAATAGGCATAGGCCAGGGATCGGCAATCTTTGGTATGCGGCTTGTCAGGGTAAGCACCATGGGGGGCCGGGCCGCTTTATTTACCTGCTGTGTCTGCAGGTTCGGCCAATGGGGGTGGCGGGAAGTGGCAGCCAGCACAGCCCGCAGCCCCCATTAGCCTGGAGTGGCAAACCATGGCCAATGGGAGCCGCAATCGGACAAACCTGCAGCCGCAGCAGGAAAACAAAGCGGCCCGGCCCGCCAGGTTGCTTACCCTGGCGAGCCGAGTGCCAAAGGTTACCAATCCCTGGTGGAGGCTGTCTAACCAGTCATCAAGCCAGGGCCTGACTAAGCCACAGTTGAGATCCAAACAAGGGTTTTGAGAGGATGGCTGAGGATAGCGTGCCACACTCCACACTGGAGCCCTCCCCATTTTCTGAACTGCCTTATCCCACTTGTACAGTGCGTGGTCACTTATAACATTGGACTGGTGGGTCCTTTGCATGGTAGAAGTGGGATATTCTCTCAAATTCTCCTCCCCACCCTCTCACCCCTCTTCAGGGACCCTTCTCACAAGCAACTCCTTGTACAGGAGGTGCAATTGCTCCTTACCTTAGGGGCAGTGGAGGTTGTTCATCAGGGGCAAGGGGTTCTCTTCCCATTACTTCCTAATCCCCACAGCAAAAGGAGGTCTTAGAGCTGTGAGGACTCAACCAGTTTATGGTAAAGTTGAAGTTCCACATGGTCTCCCTCAGTTTGATCATTCCTTCCCTGGATCTGGTATGCCACTCTCGACATGAAAGATACGTACTTCCACCTAGCCATTCGTCTGGCCCACGGATGTTTCCTGAGGTTTGTGGTCAAGCACAAGTACTACCATTTGGTTTCTAGACAGCCCCCTGAATGTTGACCAAGTGCATGTCGGTGGTCATGGCCTTTCTCTGCAAAAGGCAGGTACAGGTGTATTCCTACTTCAATGATTAGCTGCTATGGGGGCATTCCAGGGAGCAGGTGGAGTCTCAAGTCCAGTTAGTTACAAATATCTTCTCCTGGTCAATGTGGACAAGTTGACACTGTCACCGCCCCAAAGAACAGAATTCAATGGGGATAGTGCTAGACTCTTCAGGTGAGAGCTATACTACCAGGGTCTAGATCCCAAGCACTAACAGGAATCAGACTCTCAAGTGATACCCCACCACAACTCCAAGGGTATGCCTGAGTCTCCTCGGACACATGGCAGCATGCACCTATGTGGTCAGACATGCCAGAGTGAGACTCAGGCCACTGCAGGCTTGGCTCGCCTTAGTTTATCACCCAGGCGGACACAATTTGGACTCGGTAGTAACAGTGTCGGGATGAATCCTAGACACTCTACACTGGTGGCTGGACTGCGAGGGAGTCCCATTCACCACTCCTTAGCCGTCCATGACCTTGGTAATGGATGCATCAGACCTGGGTTGGGGGGCCCACCTAGGAAATCTACAGCTGCAGGGCAGGTGGTTGTAATCAGAGATCCTGCTCCAGGTCAATATAAAGGAGCTCAGAGCAGTGAGACTAGTCTGCCAGACTTTCAAGGACAGACTTCAAGGTCACTGCATGGTGGTGTTGCCCGACAATACCACTGCCATGTTTTACATAAACAGGGTGGAGCCTACTCCTCCACTCTCTGCGTCTTATCTCCCAGGCCTGCAGAACGAGATTGCAGACTGTCTCAGCAGGTCGTTTCTCAACCATGAGTGGTCAGTCCGTCTGGACAGCTTACATTCCGTCTTCCAAAGATGGGGCTTTCCCCAGGTGGACCTATTCGCCACCAGGAAGTCCAGGCTTTGTCAGACATGTTCCAGCTACCTTGGGGGAACCACCTCATGTATGCTTTCCTGCCAGTCCCATTCATCCACAAGGTGCTGCTCAAGAGCCGCACAGACAGAGCAGATGTGATCATGCTGGCCCCAGTGTGTCCACGATAACATTGGTACTCCATGCTTCTGGAGAGGTCTGTGGACACCCCGATAGCACTGTCACTTTACCCAGATCTGATCACATGGACCATGGTTGCCTCCTTCCAACCAGACCTCCAATTCCTTCATCTCATGGCTTGGAAGCTTCATGGTTAAACCCTACAGAGTTATAGATTAGGTGTATAGTTATTCTTTATATACACTAGCAATAGCACTGCAGTTAAGGTATGTTTCATTCTTTGTATTCCCAAAGGCAAATGGACAATGTAGTATATACTTCTTGGGCAGTACTAGCCCCACTTGTTAAACTTAATGAAATTTAGCACTTATTGATGGTTGAGTGGTGCTTACAAGTTTAGTTAAGTGAAAAGCAGCCCTTTGAATTAATCTGTCTCACATGAGTGCTACACGAGACCCCAATTTGCCAGTTAGGGTTTCAAAATGAAGTCCTGTCCCATCTTGTAAGATTATCTGTGAGGTAGTTATGCCAGTTTTTTTAAACACTGGACTGGTTGTGCAAGAATAAAAAGTGTAACTTGCACCACCATCTGGGTGTCATGCATTTGATATGCCCTTTGCAAAAATTAGAACTTTATTACTAGGCCCAGAGGGACCAAGGGGTTCTGGCTTCTCCAGGTGGACTAGAAAGTAATGCTATCTTTATCAGCAGAAAACGGAAAGGGCATACTACTGCCCTGTTCTACCATTTGTTTTCAACTCTGCCCTTTTTACAGGATGTGCTTGAGTCAGGTAAGTTATGTAAAGGTTGAAATACAGACGTATTATTCAGTCATAGTCATCTTCTGAAAGTTCTTACTCTCCTTTGGAGGGCGTTTTACAGATATTTATCCTAGAATAAGCCTATTAGTTCAGGCAGCAACCCTGGTAGTTGCAATCAACATCTGAGGGTTTTTTCCTTGGGGTGTAGAAAATACTGGTTTGTTCTTTTCCCATGATTTAAATACACAAGCCTGCTGCAGTGCAAGAGCCCCGGCTGTGAGTGGAATGACCTGCAGCTGGTACAGTAAGGTGAAGTAGGCAACCCCACTGGAGCGCTAGAACCTGTGATCAGACTTGACTTTACACAATTTCAGTATTAAACTTTTAATATCAAACAATTTGCTCATTGTTATTAATTCTCAATTACAAAACAAGCTCCAAAAAGTTTCATAAAATCAGTAAGTTTCAGCATTAGCTTTCTGAACCCCATATAAACTAAATGGGTTCAGGTTTCAAGGGTAAGTGTCCATAATTTTTTGGTATAAATTATCTACAAGAAACTGTGATATAAACAGTATCCCATTCTGAGTGCTGGCTCCACTTAGGAGTAGGACAAACCTCATTTTCATAGTCACAAGTAAGCAAAATAGTAGGAGGAATTATTAAAGTTCGTTTCCATTGACACACTTCTGTTGCTGGAGCCTGGCTTTACGTAATGCTTCCAGCTGTTTTGCTCTTAGCCACCGCTCTCTGGACAGTGTTGTCTGCCCAGCACTGAGAGAGAGAAACCTGGGTAGGCAAAAGTAGTACAAGTTAAATAGCAGAATTCATACAAATACCTTATGTCTCATGGCAAAGCTTAAGAGGAAATAGCCCTACTACAACAGGAAGTTACAGAACTGTCAAGCAGCTGTCAGCAGTCTATGAACTAACACCCATTCCCCACCCCCACACTTTATCCCAGCAGTCAGTGCTTTAGAACCTCTTAAGCTAAAAATAGGAAGAGGTATTTAATAATTTCTCTTACTGGCAGTAAAGTCTCCCACATTCTCATTTCAACCTTCCAGTGAGGTACTGGGAGCAGGCTGGGACACTCAAAGGTAGCAAAGCCCCAAATGGGAAGTAAGCAGAAGT